ATAAGATGACTGTTTAATAGTCTATAATGTAATTGATGACATAAATAGTACTTAAAATAATTGTACATGCCTAAACATCATGCACTGGAAAAAAATTAAATCTAGATAAGTAATTTTTTCTTAAAATAAGTGCATTATTTCTTGAATTGAGGAGGTAAAAGAGACATTTTGCCAATGGAACAAGACAATTTACACTTAAAATAAGAAAACACAATGATAATTTACCTACTCAAATTAAGGGTAAATACGCTTAATTTAAGACCTTTTTACTTATTTTTAGATCGTTTTTCCAGTGTGTGGAATGAAAACAAGTGTTTTTTTTGTTTTTTTGATGTTTTGGCAGTTAATTGATGATAAATTGAAAAGGAGGAAAGGGGCAGGATATTATAAGATGTATCTTCTACCTGCTCCTTTTCGAACAGAAAATATAAAATTTGCATGTGACATGGGCAACATAATTTGTTTTATATTTTCATTCCTACGTTTGTTTCATTCAAATTTTTTGTCTTTCTTGATTGTTTTTACTGTCTGTTCGAAATAAATAAATCTAAAGCCGGGCGTACAATGTACGATTTTTTTTGCCCTTTTCAGGACAATTCTCCAGTCGTGCGAGAATTTTTTTCAATCAGGCCGAGTTTCAGCCTGATCGTGCGTTGTGCACAGGGGGGTAACGAGGGGCGTTTAGCCTCTAACGACCTCCTCCCGACCAGGACTCGTAAGGACGGGAGAAAATAAAATGTTTTTAATTCAGTCAGCCGTCGTCAGATGTTCGTGGACAAATTCTGCTGTTGAAGCAGACCTACGAGCAGATTTACCAGAGCCTCGAGCGGTACGTATGTGCAAACAAGGGAGTTCTTCTTCTTCTTCCAGATTGACGAGTCCGACCAGCGCCATCTCTGCGCTCAGTCTGACGTGTGGTTTTTACACTGCAAAAACGATCTAGAAATAAGTACAAATTTCTTAAATTAAGTGTATTTACCCTTAATTTGAGTAGGTAAATATGATGATTTGCCAATAAAATTAGTATCATTACTCTTAAAATAAGATAATTAGATAATATGAACTTGAAATAAGACAATGCAATTGTTTTTTCTTATTTTAAACGTAAATTGTCTCATTCCATTGGCAAAGTGTCTCACTTTCCTCCTCATTTGGAGAAAAAATGACTTACTTAGATTTCCATTTTTTGAAGTGTAT